GATAGATAGATAGATAGATAGATAGATAGATAGATAGATAGATAGATAGATAGACAGATAGATAGATAGATTACAATGTCACTGAAAAACATGACTTATGGTCCTTGCACATACGACTTTCGCCGCATCAACGTGGTCACGTGATCAAAATTCAGGCAACTGGCATGTACTTTCAACAGTTGTGGCCTCCCCACCAATATGATGTGATAGGCACCACTGAAACTTGATGCAATGGTGATCTCGATTGGCACACAACACCGTAAAATTACAATTATTCAACAGGAACAGAATGGGGGTGTTGCGTTGTATACAGATAAAAATAGGCAGGAACTGGAGAACTTAAATCCTGTTTAAAATATAAGAGTGATACATCAGAGTAAGAGTGATACATCAGTATGGACTAGTTGGGCAGAGGGAAGGTAAAAATAGCAGAAATTCTTTCTGTGTCAGATGAACAATTCAGAAGTTGATGTAGGAGTAAGTAGAATTAAGTTTGTAGAACAACAGGAAACACAAATAGTAAACGCATTCATCTTCTGTATAAAAAAGAATTGAAACTTTCACGACAAACTTTTTTACTGTTGCATTCCTGCTTTTCCTTTCTGTCCTTTCCAGTTTTTTTAAATCCATTTCAATATTTTTTAAACCCAGTCAATGTAAATGTCTTTTAAACTGACACTATCTAAAAATACTGAGGTCCCTGTGCGTAAGTTCCTGCACTATGACATTTGGAAGTCATCAAATGAGACAGCATAATGTCAGTTTGATATTTGTCACCCTATGCAAATATCAGCTTCATGTCAAAGATTAAATCCCATCTAAATGTAATGCATTTCCTTGTAGTCACCAACTTGTGAAAATGTTAAATATTTAAATTTGAGATGAATATCTATTCTTGATCTTCATACTGAATTATTAGTAAGTCAAAATCCCTTTTCCAGGAAAATAATAATAATAATAGTTCCCCTAATATTATTAGCAGTACAATTTGCTGGCCTGTCAGAATAGTATGTGCCTGACTCACCAAATCCAATAACACAGGGTGTGGTGGGTTGTTTGTTTGTTTGTTTTGTTTGTTTTTTTGTAATATACAGGAAGAGATATTTTCCTTTCAACCATTTTCACAGAAAAATGAGGGTTGTGTCATCCCCAAATCCTCACTCTCCACATGTTTTTCAGAAATATTAAATGGGGACCTTCCTGTGAACTAGTAATTCCATTGCATGGGATTTGAAGTCATCACATGATCCAGAAGAAAATGGCTTATTCTATCCATGTTTCCAGAATTCAGTTTATTAGAGTGGAGTGGAATGGAATGGAATGGAATGGAATGGAATAGAATAGAATAGAATAGAATAGAATAGAATAGAATAGAATAGA